AGAGAACAGAGCTTCATGATCTGTAGAATTTAGAGGGCAACTAAATGTATGTATCAATATAAATCAGAGGACCACTTATGCAGCTCCCAGAAACAGCAGGAGCAGGGTGAACGTTTCTCCCCAGGATGCCACCAAATTAAAATTTTAAAGTCACAAAAGGGGAAAGTTCTTAACTACATCAAGAATATCATCTTATTTACTGTGTGTTAATCCGTTTTAATTACATGTAAATCTGAATCATATTTATTCTTCATTTTAAGACGAGTTGGAGTAGTTTTGGTAGGTGGTTGCTGACAAGCCACTTAACACTTCTCCTGAAGTTAGGCTCTCCCCTTAACAAATGATCGCCGGTGAAATGGTCAAGATCAGCTTGCCATGCACAAATCTGAGTGGGATAACAGCAGATAAATAGACCATTTCCTTCTCACACAGGTTGGCAAAGCAGGGCTACAGTTACAATCAGGAGAGTTACTGATGCCATTGTGAAGGGCGTGATGTGGGCCATTTGCAATCCAAATGGTACATTCATAAGATGAGACCCAGTTCCTGATTAAAACATGATAAATGAGGAAAATACTATTCAAATATAGATACCATGCAGTAAACAACATTGGCAAAATGCCTGCTACTCTGACAAAAATGCTGAGATTGCAAAAACCATGGTGGCACAGAATTCTGGGAGTTGCAGTTTCAACAGAGATAGAGGGCATCATGTTGCAGAAGGGTGCCTTACTTTCCTTTTGCTGGAGATCTGTCTGACCACACATATGAGATCTTGCAAGTCCCAACATTGTGACTCCTGCAGTTCATCTTCCGTTATCAATCACTGACTCATTCATGCCCCCGCGCGTGCCTCTGTTTCGCTGTGGGATTCTCAATAAAAGAGCTTTAAAGAAAGAAAGTCTTTTTCCCCTGTATTCTACAAAAACCTATGCTATAATAAATCACTTTTAAAAGTATCAGACTCTTGATTGTTTTTATTGTCATGTAGCCTTTTTCCTTTAGTTTCTTCTTCTGGCTACCCAAATCTGACGGATTCTTCGGGAATCGAGAGATAAAGTGTACTGTTCTTAGTTCATTAGTAAAGGTAGCTACGGAGCTCTCACACTTTGCCAACACTTCCTTAGGTCACGTAAAGGAGACTAGTGAGAAATAATAAATTGAAACAACAGTTTGAGCTTTATTTGTTTTAAAACACCTGGGAGAAAGCGAGAGAAAGTGTATTTCCAGTAAATGTACCTTCTATTACCGTTCCACTCTGTGCTTCTCAAGACTTGAATTACAGCAGGGAAGAAGCGGGACGTTAGCCATTTTGCGTTGTAAATACGGCTTAAGGGAGAAAAAGAGGAAATGGGGTTTGTGGATGTCATCAAGGGACCTGCTGCCCTGCCCCCGATAAATCCAGGGTGCTACTTCTATACAGAGAATACCCTTCCAGATAATAAAGGCAGAATGGCCCACATGCTTTTTGGAGTTACCCTTCAAAAGACATATAAAGGATTTTCTCACTGAACATCTACTATGGTGGCTAGATCTAACTAAGAAAAGAAAAGAAAAAACTCTTGCAGGATTAAAAAAAAATGCCCTCCATTCCCATATCCTTGGGTAGATTTTCTTTGTGGGTGCCCCCCTTCTAAAACAATGCTGTTTTGAAATGAGATAAAGCAGAATCAGTCCACTCTTGAATGGCTTTGGAGAAGGAAGAGACAACTTTTCTTTCTGTACTTTCTGCATGCTAAGAGCCCATGTAGAGGACCTTTCACCACTCATACTACTGCTCTTACAACCACTCTTTTTGTTTCGATGCAGCTACCAAAGCTGCTTTTTCAGACTCTTGGACTCCTCCAACGACAATTGTTTTGCAGCTACCACTGAAACTACAGTGAGATCAAAGAAGAGACAGGACTCTACTGGTTGTGACAGAACACCCACTGTGTACGAAGACAGGCCCAAGTTCAATCCCCACCCTCTCCAGATTAAAAGGACCTGCTAAAATAGAATGGAAAATATCTTAGAAAAGTTGCTGCCAATTAAAGTTCTAAGAAAGGGAGATCATCTGACCCAGTGTAGACAGAATCCTAGGCCTAGGATTGAGCCAGTTTCTTAAAAAATTGGAGTATCCAAGAATATCCTCCACAGCTGTTTACAGTATATCCATTATGCTTTTCTATGTCCAAGGGAACAAGGTATTTGGGACACACACAGGGAAAGCAGGAGAAGAGGCACTCCTAAGGTACTTGGCTCACAGATGGGCTGTTAAGCCAGGTATGAAGGAGGCAAGCACAGAGGAGATTGCAGAAGGTGAACTCCAGTCCTGATCTGGTGCCCTTCCTTATTCTTAATCCTGCTTCTGGGCAGCACCAGCTCCACTGATTTGCCCTTCCAAATCTACTTCTTATGATGATGCTAGTCTCAATGAGTACTGGGAGATTTATTTACTCCATTTAGTCTCATCACCTCTAAGTTCACCCCATGACTGGAAAGGACCACAGTGGAACACTGGAGCAGGATCAGAGCCAATTATGAGCAACTGGCATGCTACCACTGATGCCCTGGTAAGGATGTCTATCCCTAGGGACACCAAAAGAGGCATCAAACAGGTCAGCACAGTTTGAATGAATATCAGTGATGTGGCTGGAGGTTCCCATTAGAGTCACGATTCTGCATTCACGTCAACTTTATACTCAAAAGTCTGCTTCTGCGTGCTGCCCACCCTTGCTAAATCAAAGGGACTGGGCTTCTTCAGAGACAGAGAAACCAAAAAGAATCTGCTCAGAAATCTCTCCAGGTGTTGCTTGTATTAACAAAGAATTGTTAAGACACACGTCATAATTGTTAGTAATGATTCAAAAGTATTAAATTCTATGCAGGCTTTTGCTTTAGGTAAACTTGTTAACTTTTTACCACAGTCATCTGCCTACAGCTGTACTGCAGGTTTCTAAATAAGAAAGTCCTGTTAAATTCAGTGGGCCTTACCTCCAAACAGAAACTGTGTATAAGATTACAACCTTAGTCTTTTACTGAGGCAGGTAAGCAGAAAATCAGTATGACTCAATTGTTATTTCTATTAAGTAGCACCTTTGTTTTTCTCAGGCTTCTAAGCACGTGCCCCTGAAGCAAATGAAACTCAGTATACTGTATATGAGCAAGTCCGACCTAACAACTCTCCATCTTGATCTAACCACTTGCATTTGTCACATCAAACCAATCAAGGGGGTATTTTCCAGGGCCAGCTCAAGGGTACATGATGCCCCTCGGCCATGTTGACTGATGGCGCCACCTCCTGCCAGTGCAAAGATTTACATTTTCAGAATGATTCAGGTACCCCCTTAGCCTAAGGCTGGCTCTGGTGCTTTCATCTCAGATTAAAGCCCACTCACTTGGAATGCCTTTGGGCACAAAGGGAGTGTACCATCTAACCTGCTCCTATGGGCCATTTCATCAGTGCCAACTTTGTGTCTATTTCAACTGTACTTTCTCAGATCCACTAAGAGATGCAGAAACACAGAATTAGTACCTCTTGGCACTCTTTGGAATCTCACTGAGTGACCAAGATCCACAATATCCATCCTTCCTTCCTTCCTTCCTTCCTTCCTTCCTTCCTTCCTTCCTTCCTTCCTTCCTTCCTTCCTTCCTTCC